GGATATGTTATCCCTGCCATCAGCTCCTGCTTCTGACCTGCAATGTGTTTCCTTCTCTGGGCTGGGGATCCTATTTAGGGATGTGGGGCATTCTGTGCAATGACAAGTAGGAATGTTGGGTATTCGTAATACCAAATCACCTCCTGTAGCTTATTATACCTTGACTGATTCATGACTAACTTGCCCCATATAAGCACAGTACTTGGTGCCACCAGGACCCCCGGGCAAGGCAGCTAAGGGCTCAGCCTGCTGCTCATTGCAGTCAGTGCCAAAGCTGCAGCTGGGGGATTTAGACGAGTCCTGCACTGCTTTCCTTAAGGAAAGGTGGTGGTAGGGGTAAACTTCTCATCTCATGCCATGCTGAGTCCCTATCTTGTTTGCCAGTGTGTGTGTGGGGTTTCACATATTTCCTGCCTTTCTCAGCACTGTTTCTGTGCTGTTAGTGTCATCTGTTGTGTTTCAGGCTTGTGGAAGTCTGCTTCTCCCCCCGACAGCCCTGAGAGCAGCTCTGGCACCTCTTTATACGGGCTACTGGCTCCCGAGTGGAGGGAGGGGATGCACCAAGCAGCAGTGAGCCTGGATGCTGGGAGAGGCCGTTTGGAGCAGACAGGCTGGAGTGATGGAGATTGGATGGTGTGTGTGGGATGTGGCACTGATAACTTCCATCCTTCCCTTTCCAGCGTGACCAAGTCTTCAGCTTCATATTTTGCCAGATAAACACGTGGCTCACACCCAGCATTCCCCGGGCACCAAGGAACACCCCTTGGTGGGGGAAGAGGAAGGTGCCATGGTCCACCATCCACAGCTCATGGCAGCGGTGGCTGTGGCAAATGAGGAGTGAGTCTGTGCTGGCTCTTGGTGTGAGCTGTTAAGTGAGCAGCTGCTCAGGCTGATGAATTAGGTTTGTGGGTTCCTCCAAGCCCTGCGTGCTCCTACGTGGAAATACCAGGGGCGTTATTTGAGTTGTGGAAGGTGTAGCTTTCTACCTGCTAATAACTACATTTGTGAAGATTTGTTAAAGCCGTTAATTTAGCTTAAACATTTTGTGCGAGGGAGGTTCTAGAAAATTACAGTAATTGTGACTGTCAGATGAAGATGTTTGCTGTGCCTGGAGGGAACGGGGCTGCCTTGTGTGGCTGCTGGCAAGGAGCACGGGGGAGCTTTGGTGTGTTCTGCTCCTGCGGGGACAGGCCACAGCAGAAATCAGCGCACACGGGCTCTCGTGACCCACTATCCACAAGGAGAACATCTCTTCTCCATGACCAACAATAGTGTGTCTGGGATTTGACTGGAATTTACTCTTATTTTAAGGATTTGTTTCATGGGTTTTATGCTGTTTTGTGGATTAGGTGCCTAGGTGAGTGAGGGCTGGTGAATGCAGGCAGAACCAGGCTAGGCAGGAGAACCTCTGGCAGATGAATGCACGGGCTCTGGACCATCCATAGATGGGACTTTCAGATGCTGTTTCGAGGAGGTAGGGAACTGGCCTCTGTGCAGAGGCAGGAGCAAGTGCTGTATGGATTAGCTGGGCAGCATTGGTCCTGTGGGCCCTGCGGACCCAACGCTGCTCTGGCTCTGCCTCTACTGCACTGTGGGGCCCTGGCAAATCGCTCCCATGACTTTCTGTGTGTGTTTTCCTTCCACCCCCCGGCCTGCTCAGAGGTGAGGTGTTCGGACACGGATGGTGTGAGCAGTGTGTGTGATCTCGGGGGGGCTGACATTGCCCTCATCTTAGAAATAACCTACTAATTATTATAAAAGGCGCTGCTCTGGCTCTGCCTCTACTGCACTGTGGGGCCCTGGCAAATCGCTCCCATGACTTTCTGTGTGTGTTTTCCTTCCACCCCCCGGCCTGCTCAGAGGTGAGGTGTTCGGACACGGATGGTGTGAGCAGTGTGTGTGATCTCGGGGGGGCTGACATTGCCCTCATCTTAGAAATAACCTACTAATTATTATAAAAGGTACAAAGAGGATGAGCACATGGAGTCTGGGGGCAAAGCACTGTGGGAGAGAGCAGCAAGCCTGTTTCAGAAGGCTAAATTCCTTGCATAGACTGCATTTTCTGCCTGGGGTGTAGTGTTGCTGCCTGGCAGTCTTTCCAAGCTCACGGCCTCCTGCACGGATCAGTGTGCTGGGAGAGGGGGAGGGTGCTGTGTTTCACCATGCTGCAGCCGCCCCTGGGCTCCCAACTAAAAGCCTTGGCACACACGGCTTGGCTCCAGCTGGGTTTAACGTGTCAGTGGGGAGGGAGCTGCATGCTCTGTTCCTGAAGGCATAGAGCCTGGGGCTTTGGCATGTTGCTGAAGGCAATTTGCTGTAATGCTCTTCACCTTCTCACCTGCAGTGAGTAATTTTTACTGAGTGGCCTATTAAGGTGTTCAGGATAATCAGTGCAACAGGGCTGGGAGGTGTTCTGTGACTTGGGATGGCTTTGCAAGCTAAACCTTAGCTGAGGAGTTGAAAATCACATGTAGTATGTATCTGTCGTCTTTGTTTCCCTTTTCCCCTCAAGCGTCTTCTTTCCCTGCTTCCCCACATGAAAACCTCTCACTTTGCAGCACTTCTGCACTCATCCCTTCCATCAGAACGTGTGTCTGGCAGGAGAACAGCCCCTCCTAAGGATCCCTGTGGCCCTGGGGTGGGCAGTGTGTTGGAGCTTGTCTTGTGCTCGCTGTGACCCACATGCACGTCTGTGCAGTGTGTCAGAGTAGCAGGACCTGCTCCCCATCCTCTCCTTCCACAACAGGCCTGCCTGGCTCTGGCTGATCCTCTTCTTTCCTCTGCTATTTGCAGCTCAGCCCTGAGCCTAGGTTGGGTCACACTGTAGGTGCTCAGAGAGGAGGAACACAGGAGATCGCAGCGTTCTGTGATCTTAGCACCAACCTGATGCAGAGGATGCTTTTGAAGCACTGATGAGCCTGGCCAGCAAGTCTGTCACTGCCTGACCTTGCCAGTGCTGAGATCCAGGGTTCTTGTTCAGTCCTGCGTCAAAGAAGCCTTTACACCATTCTTAACATGTTTCGCTGTTTCTTTCTGAGCACAAAATTTGGTGGCCTTCTATGACAGGATTACAGCGTTGGTGGATAAAGGAAGAGCAACTGACATCATCTACGTGGACTTGAGCAGCCTCCAAATCCCACCCCAAGTATTATCACGAGAAGGCACTAACAGACAAGCCACAGTTTGCTCTGCATTGCCAGGGTTGAGCCTCCACCCTCACTGAGCTCTCAGCCTTTGCTGGCTCAGGTGGGGAAGCCTGGCTGCTCCTGTTTGGAGCGAGAGGGATGCTCTACTCCCTCATCAGGGTCACTGGTCAGTCACACTCCTCCACATCCTAATGACAGGTCTGTCACGGGAGCATTTCTTGGCTCTTCGCTTTTGAAGAGCCGTTCTGGAGCCCATCACAGGAGGCAGATGGGGCTGGGTGGAGGTGAAGCCCAAGAGGCACTGTTTCCTTTTGTATTCCTTTGCGCTTCATGCCAAAATGTGCCAAGTTAAGCCTGGCTCTCTGAACATCCTGCATCTCCTACCAAACTGTACAGAATGTCCATGCATGGAGCTCTGAGGGAGAGTAAAAGAGTGGGGAGCTGCCAGCGGGGATTTACAGAGCCCTTTTGCCGCTGTTGGTGATGGTGGGGTTGCTGTTTGTGCCCACCATGTGCTACTTAGGTTCTCCCCTCTCTTGAGGCTGCTCTGAATGTGCTGTAAACTTTGGGACCCCATTGTATCAGCTTAGGCGATGCCATTTAATAGTGAACAGAAGAGAGACAAGTGACCTGACACGAAGCAGAGGAAACACATGCTACAGATTTCATCTTTTTAGAAGGATTCTGCCTCTTGTCGTGACCTTCCTGGATACGTGATCCTCCAGAGCCTGCCAGAGTATTCTCATTTACACTTGTAGGATGAAAAGAGAATAACAGGAAAGAGCATTAAGGATTTCTGCTGCCAGGGGAAGGTTGTTTTGATGGTGCTGTCCTGAACGTGCACTGCCATTTGATGGATTTTCTTTTAAACACTTGGGTTCAGCAAGTTTTATTAACATGAGCTTAAAAGATTTTGTAATCCGTAGAAATGACTCTGTGTTAAAGGAGGCTGCAGCGTGTATTTGAAGGTACTGAAGCAGTTGCCTGAATTGGGGCCTTACATATTAATGTCTTTTCTGAATTTTTCCAGGAAAACATTTTTCATTGCCATTTGGATTGAATTGAATTGAAAAACGAGACTTGCTGGACAGCTGGTGGGAGAATTCGATCTGTAGCTGCTGGGGAGAGCAATGAGTTGTTTTAAACATGTGATAACCATTTGAATTAAAGAAAACCACTAATGCCAGGCGAGGGTACAATGGGTCATGAAAAAGCATTTAATTTTCAGAACTGTGCATACTTGCTCAGGCTGACACTTCAATACGGTGTGTGTGTGCCTGTGTGTGTGCAATGCAAAGAAAGCTTCACTTTTGGAGTCCTATACAATGCAAAGCAGTGATGGATGTTCTTGGGAAGCAGTGGTGGGAGGACCAGAAGGTCACTCGGGGTCCTTATAGAGCTCAGTGCTGTGCTTGGCCCTGCAGTCAAGCCTGTTTGCTGGCTGGAATTGATGTTTATTGTGCCACATTCAGGATTTCTGGCACTTGTCTTGCAGCATTGCTGGATGAATTTGTGTGTCAGAGCACGTTTAACAGCAAAGGCAGTGTAACAGAGACTGTGGAAAGCAGAAGCCACTTCTGGTGGAGAAGAATACAAACCTTCTCCCCTATCCAGGAGCCTGCATGCATATTCAAAGCTCCACTGTGACTGAGATGCCTTCGGGTTATGCTGTGATAGGACAGATGCTGCAGCCCAGGGGGAGGACGCCTGCTCTGCGGGGTTTTCTGTGCGTGGCAGGGGAGGAAGATGCGGTGCTGTGCATGAAGGATGGGAAGGGTGCGGTCCAAGAGCAATCTTGAACCTTAGTGCTTTGTCTCTGAAGCAAATTCAGCCTCTCTAGCATAGAAAGACGCATATAGCCTGGGAGAGCTGTGCACTGGCGTGTGTGAAATCCATCCTCCTCCTAGCAAGGTGGCTGTGTCCGTATCCCCTTGGCTGCATCTCATCTGCTTGAGTAGGATGAAGTTGTTTTTTGCAGGCAAAGCTGTTCACTGTGGAGGAGGATCATAACCCTTACGGTCTCTTCCCCTAGACTCCAGCACTGCCAGCCTGTGGGCAGTTGTTCTGTGTAAGTAACTTGACATCTGGCTTTGTTCTTCCTTTTGCCTTGTTTCAATTTCCTGTGGCTGCAGGTATGGTTTCAGGCAAGAGGGAACTATTCTGTGGCTGCATGAATGCTACAAGGCAAGAGGAAACTCTTATCTCTCAGGGTTGTGGCATTTCCCTTCTTCTTTTTGTCATTCTACATGGCCTTCCCTAATGGAGCAAGTGAACAGAAGAGGAAGCAATTTAGGATGGTAGCTGCTGAAACTGCCTGTCTCTTCTCACACACTCTTGCCTTAAAGGAAGAAATGAGGCAAGAAGCAAATTTGCACATTGAAACCTTTCAGTTACTGTTGTTAGGACTGCTGAGGGTCTGCAGGGCATAGGAAGGTGAGGAATTACATTTTGGGCTGTCTTTAGGAGAGGGAAGCCTTCCTCTTAACTCACACATCATCACAGGCTTACATTTCTCAGCAGAAACACTGAGTTATTAACTTCCCTTCCCTTCTTCTTTCCCCAGCATTATCACGCTTTTTCCAACAGCCGGAGTCACAGACAGTGGAAGAAAATGGCATGGCCCGGTTTGAGTGTCGCATCGAAGGACTGCCCTCCCCTCTCATCACATGGGAGAAGGACCATGAAGCTGTTCCAGCAGAACCCAGGTGATTCCCTCGTTGCTTGAAAAAACAGCAAAACAAAACCTGACCATTTAGGATGTGGAATTCCTTCATAAAATGGTAGAATGGAGAGATGATAGACCAGGTTTGTCCTGATAATTAAGGGATGGAAGAGGAGGTTTCATGCAGACAGGTCCATAAAGCACCTTAATAAAATGAACTTTTCCCCCAAACATCTAACCCACCTAAAAAAAGATAGAAAAAGAAAGGAAGGAGGAAAACAAGAAATAACCAAGCCCTTTTTTGTTACTGATCACTTGTTCTGGAGCCTTTGCCCTGATGGAACAAGTGCTAAATCTATAACATACAGTTTCAAGGAAATGAAATTGGCTAGAAATTGGCTGATAAACAAAGTAATAGAGACTGGAGCCTCAGTTCTGCAGTGGCCTGGAAGGTCTGTATGCAAAGATGCACAATTTCAGCTCACTTTACATCAGACATTTACTTCCCATGCAGAGTGTTGGAGGGAAACCAAGAGGAGTCTGCAGAAGGGCAGGCAGCAGCATAAAAGTGAATAGAGAAACCTGAAGTGGTGCCAGTTCTTACAGCACAGAACCTGTATTCTGCAAAAGCCTCTGTGTGTGTGGAACAGGGTAGAGCAGACCATGGCATGAGGTGCCTTTGGCTTGTCCCTTTGTGTGAAGTAAGGTAGAAGTTTTTGGGGGTTTGGGGCCTGGTTTGAGGACTATTTCTCCAGCTGACTGGGGTACAGCCCTGGGGGAGTACTGGGCACACCAAACAGGACTCCATGATGTAGTTTTTCTGTTACTTTAGTTGTGGTATTAGAGGTGGTTGTTCTCTTCACTCTTTTCCTGCACAGATTTATCTCAGGGTCAATGATTCCTTCAGAACACTGTGTGTGCTCAGGAACCTGGGAGGTCTTTCCATTTGTTTTATTCCCATGTTTACAGGTCATCTAGTAAAAGCCCGTGAATTTTCTTTTTTGTGGAGAAAAAGAGACCTGCAGCATGATACGTTTTCCTTAATAAAAGTCAGTTACAGGCATGAGAAGATGATATACCATTAGTGGGCTGTTAGCTGGTTTGTAGACATCACTCCTGCAGGGGATCAGTGACTGCATTGTCCTTTAGTTCTTAAAAACTCATTTTCTCATCTGCAGAAGGAGCTGATTCCCTCCCAGGGACATTAAGCCAAGAGGAAGGAAAGAGGGGTGGGGTAAAGTTTAGGAATAATTCTGCAGCAATGACTTTCTATATGCTTATATCCTGGAATCTGAAGTGGAGCATCTAAAGGTTTATACAGGCTGTTGCTTTGTAATGAGAAGAAAATTAATTAATAAAAAAAGGAAAGGAAAAACAAAAAGGAAGGGATTGCAGAGGGAAGTGTGCCTTAAATAGGGCAATGGCTTTTTAATGAGACAGCTCGATGGATGTTGTGAAATTACTTGCTTGGAGATTGCCTTCAACGCGGGCAGCCTGGAAATTGTTTTCCTTGTAAAAGCCAGAGCATAATCTCTGGCTGCAGATCTTGCTTTTTAAATCATGTTTTAGCTAATATGCTTTTTCAGAAGGATTTGCTTTTTTTGTTGTTGTCTAGTTGTTGTTGTTGGATTTAATATAACCGGCTTTCGAAGGAATTAAGTGAATTCCAGGAAACGTTGGCTGCCAACCAGGGCTCTGTGTTATCCTTACTGCATCACGCCTGAGGACCAGATCTCGGGCCAGCCTGATTACTGTGGACTCCCTCCTGTGCACACTTCTGATGAGCCTGTGAAAGTGCAATCATTTGGCTAGGTAGGCGTCAGGATGATGATTTCACATTCCAGAATAACATGGTTAGGTGTATGTACAAAATCAGGCTCTGGGGCTGTAGATAAAACCCTTGAGATAATGCTTCTACATCAATGTTTATGATTTCTTTTAAGAGGGATAGAATAATCATGGGAATATTACACTGCTTTTCCTTCTTGCTTTTTCTTTTTCCTCTTTGTGTTGATCTTAGCTTTGGACAATGTCTTCAGCCTTTACCCTTGGGTGCAGATTCTAGAATGGTGCCACCTCCAAGGTGCTGAAGGCTGAGCTTAAAAAACACTTAGACAGCCCAAAGGGTAGGGAAGTGCTTACTGATGTTTTCAAAACACCTTTCCTGCCCTGCTGAGATTCAAGACAAAATCTAACTTCCATATGGGAATAAAGCACAGGAGCATTTTGCAATTTTGGCTCTGAAATACTTCTAAAAACATGGTCTTAAATCTGCAGCAGCTGCTGAGAGGTGTCTTGCAGGCTTTCTCTAGATTGCAGTTGCTTTGGGGTGTGTGCTACATCTCTTGGCATAATCTCTTCTCTGTTGTAGGTGCTGGCTGGGTTTCACACCAGGCTCCAAATTTCTGTTTGTTTTCTCTAGAGCCAAGGACTTGCTAGGAACTGGAGGTTTTTGGAGGTCTGTACATAAACACATACCCTACAGATCACATGGTCTGCAATCACAGCATCTTCTCCACATTTTGGCTAAGTGAGGGGTTTATCTGTGTGGAGAGCTTACTTCTGTCATGTCTCGGGAGTGCCTTAACGTGGCTGATGTTCACATACAAGCTCTTGAGCTGTGAGCAAAAGGCCTTGCAAACATTGAGTCTGCAGCAAAGCTGCTGGTTCCTAATGTGTCCTTAGGACTGGTGCTTTAGTTTATTTTGTGTGCCTTCACAAGGCTTTCAGGAAGGAAGGGTGTGCCAGCAGTTCACTGGGGAGAAAGTAAGAGAGGGAATTGGACTGTTAACACTGGAATATTCTCTGCTATGCAGCCAGCCGAGCACACTGAGCTGTAGGGTTTCAGGGTTTGGGTACAAAGCAGCAATACTTGATTGCACTTCTTCAGCACTGCCCTGATAATCAGAGAATCCTAGAATCACAGAGTGGTTTGGGTTGGGAGGGACCTTAAAGCTCATCCAGTTCTAACCCCCTGCCTCTGAGTCATCAGGCAAACTTAGCTTCCCTGCAGAGAGCCTGGGGATGGAGCAAAATGCCCTTGCAGGCTGCCTGGAGGCTTCCAGTTCAGGGCTGCTGGGAGCCTGGAGAGCTGGAGGCTTTTTAAGCAGCTGGGAGAAATTGGGGATAGAGAAATCCTGCCTTTCTTCCCTCCTTACTTCCCTGGGAGAGCAATTCTCACCTCTCTCATGCTTCCCAACAGGACATACTGCATTAAGTGGGTCTCTCTACTTCTGGCCTCGCCAAACGGACCATCTTGAGCTTATGTGTTGATCCAGTCTCCCCCCTCACTCCCCCTTGCCTCCAGCTCCTGCTCTCTTTAGGAACACAGTGGCTTGTTTTCTGCTCTCAGGACAAGCAGGGTGTGTCGGCTGAGCCTGTCCATGGACATGGTCCCGAGTAACCTGGTCTAACCAACCCTGCTCGGAGAGGGGGAAGACCGCAGCTATTTCTCAGAGGTCCTTCCCAGCTTCCGTGAATCTGTGATCCATAATTGGAGTGTCTTTTTGTGGCGGGGAGAAGCCTTGCCTAGTGTTTGAAATATGTTGATATTAATTACAGCCTCAAATAGCAGATGCACGACAAAAATAAATATTATCGCAGTGGGAGGCTTTGCCGCCGCTGAGCTGAGAGGATGCAAATATTTGTTGTCTTTCTCCGGAGTCCTGATGAGGCATCCTGATGAGGGCTTTCTGTGTGCCACCTCCTCTGAGGCCTCTGGAGCTTGTGCCTGAGGAAAGCCTTTGGAAGTAGCAGGAACACAGCTTTAGGGATGTGGGGCAGTTGCCCCTGTGTATGTGGAAGCTTCAGCAAGTCTGTGTCCATGAGTCAGACTGCAAATGTGCCAGTAGAGACAGTGTGGTGACTGGAGGAGCTCTGTCAGCTCTTCTGTTTCTTCACCAAGAAGTGATGAGCTCAGATTGCAGCAACTGAGGCTCAGGGTAGACACCAGACTTGCAGCAGGGATGTTCGTCTCTGGAACAGACTGCTTAGGGCAGGGGAGGGTTTTCCTCTATTGGAGATGGAGGCTAAATGTTTGCAGGAGCTGGTGTGCTGGTGGTGACCATGGCCTGGACACAGGGTGAGTGATCTCTTAAGGTCCTCCTGGTTGCTTGACCCTTGTTCATAGCACTTCAGCTGTAGCAAACCACAGTTTTACTTTACCAGGTTTACTTCCTGGCATCTCTCTGGATGGAGGGACCAGTGGTGGTGGTTATAACTTGTCTTTGTGCTTGTTTCCTTGGAATAGCTGCTATCCTTCCCCTTAACAATTGCCTTTGAATATGTCCTCTTCATAATGAAGACTGATAACCCAGAGCTGCCTGTCAAAGCTCGGCAGCTCTGTTTATAGAGGCATGCAATTAAAAATGGATCTCATATATAATTAAATAGGATCACGTAGGCTTTGCGCCTTGCATTCAAGAATAAAGAGGCTGCCATCTAGGAATCCAGGCAGAAAATAGAGATGCTGACAGCCAGCTCCTACTTTTATGCTAATTGCTAATCATCTGCTTTGTTCAGTATAATGCAGCAAGGAATTGTGTTCCTGTGGAGAGCCATGTAGCCATTTCACTCTGTGGAAGTGTTGCCCAATAGCACCCCATGGGCAAATGGGGGGGATGCTGGATGCCCAGCTCTGAGTTCATCAGCTTGTGAAAGCCAGAAACTTGGGGAAGAGCAGAAAGGATCAACACAACCCAGGAATGGTGCAGCTTCAGGTGGCTATGTCCTGGCTGCTTTGGGCCATGAAGGTTCAGCTGCGTATCAGTTGGTCCCTTCATGTACTTGAGATGCAGCAGGAAAAAGATGATGTTCAGACTTCCTTGCAATGTGTTTTTTCTCTGGCTACCAATCCTTTTTGAAAAGCAAGAGATGAAAGTGGCTGTAGTGTGTGTGAAGGCACTTGTACACTTGGAGACATCTACAAATCTGTATGTAGAAATGTGCATGTGTGTATGTAGCTGTTTGTATCAGCAAAGCCAAGTTGGTCTGGTCTCCCAAAAGGAGATCCAATGTTGTGAAGACTCCAGGGTGACAGGTAGGTTTGCACCTTTTGCTTTTTAAGAACCACAAGTTGGGTTGCTCAAAGATGTCCTGGTCCCATTCTCTGTGGGTACCAGGACCTGCACATGATACATTTATAGGAGAAAAAGAAGGGATAAAGAGACTTTGAGTTGATGAGTAGCTCAAGTAAGGCATAGCCTGTCTCACACTCTTCCTTTTGGTCACTCAGGTTTATAACTCTTCCGAATGGTGTCCTTCAAATTGTGGATGTGCAGGAGAGTGATGCTGGGACTTACCACTGCGTGGCAACCAACGCTGCCCGAAAACGCTACAGCAATGCTGCAGTCCTCAGTGTTCTCAAAGGTAAGTGCAGGCAGGAGCGTGTTGGGCTGGGCACATCTGCCACATAACCGTTGTGCGTGATGGCAAGCTCAGCTGAAACAGCAGTGACAGTCCCTCCTGCTGGTGTGGCTCTGCACGTTCGGTTAAAACTTGCAGAGAAGGCATTTTAGTAAAGATTTCTCTTTACTCTGATGGCATGAGCAGGCTGGGGTGGGAGGTGCTGCCACTGGGAGTCACAGCTGGCTGCTCTGCCCAGCCACAGGACTCAGCAGTCGTACAACAGTCTAGGGTTGTTTCTCTGTGTGCCCAGGGATTCTCTTTTGCAAGTGGATTATAACAGTCGGTGCATTTTAACAGCCCTAAACTCCTTTATGCTCTGGGGCTATTAGAAGGGGTCTGTTTGCACCTTGGGCAAGTGCAGTGTTGTTTTCATCTTATCTCCAGTGGCCTTGGATGGCAGGGCAAGCGAAGACTGGCATGGAAAGAGGAAGGTGCTTGCCCAAGCTAGCAAGAGAAATAGTTGTAGGCTGGAGTAGTTGGCAGTGCTGCATCTACCCTGGGTTGCCTAGCAGGCTCCAGAGGAGGTGAAGCACAGTGACATCCAGCTTGTATTCTGTGTCCATATTGTTGGCTCTTTGCTGAGATGTTGGGTAGGCTCCAGAGATCTTGTTGCGGTATTTGAGAACAGCCTCAGCTAGGGTTTCTTCTGCTGACACAGACCATTGGAGCAAGGCTTTGGATGTGAGCTGCCTTTTGCCTCCCGATCTGGGCCTCAGTCTCTGAGTATGTTTTTCTTTGTACACCAAGAGTGCAGTGGGCAAGTCTGGACATGAGAATGTAGCTGGGAGCCGAAGTGCAGTGGGGACTCCGGGCTCCAGCATCCTTCCCAGCACGCCTGGCTGCCTCCCAGGGTTGTATAATCCCAGTCCTGCAAGTGGACAAACTCACCAGGGATGGGAGTCTGGCTGAGCTGGCCTTTCTTTCAGGACAGTGTTCCCCTGCCACATGTGTCTCCTGTGCTGATCCCAGTATATTCTGTAGGCAGCTTTAACCTTGAAAGCTCTGAAATCCTTTCTAGCCCCTTTTGTCTTTGTTTAGGATTGTGTTGCTTGGCATTCTGCTACCAATGTATTCTCACAGAGATGGCTTTGCTGTTCATCCATCAGCGGGGAGCGTAATTAAGTGTGGAGCCTGAGAACACACCTCTGATCAATGGGTTGTGTCGTGGAGGTAATCTGTGTGGAATCTGCAGAGAATTTGTGAGCAGTTGAACACCCTGTATCTAATTGCCAGCCCCTGCCAGATCCTCTGCGTGCTTAATGAGGCACGAGGCGAGGGGAGCGCTTGCTATGGGCAGTTCCACACTGCAGAGGCAGCTCCCTGCTTGGGTCTGCTTTGCTATTGATAAGTAATATTGATCAAGCTACAAAGGTGAATATGCTGTCCTTGGCATCATGACTCATTCTGCATAATTGTATCTTGTAACTCTGCAATGTTTAATCTGCTTTGCAAATGGAGGCAGTGGAAGAGGTTAAATGGGAAGCATTCCTTCTGGAGCACCAGCCGGCCCGAGCAGATTTCTGCCTGGAGTTCTCACCCAAATCTCGCTTCTGCAGCACCACACCACCCGCTGGCTGCAAAAACAAATATGTGAGGTTGAGTTTTTCACCAGATTGAGCAGATAGTGATGAAAAACATGCCTGTTAAATCTCTGGGGTTTTTTATAATTGGGGAAAAGTATCTCTGAGACAGATGGGAAACTGCAGTGACCTGTGCAGGCTTCAGACTCCTCCAAGAGTGACTGGCATGGTATTGATCCTTTTTTGTTTCAGCACTTCACCATCAGAGGCACATTTTTGGATGCCTGGCCTGGCTTTGAGGAGCCTTTTCCTCCGTGTTCAGAAGCAGCTGATAGCAGTGGACTGGAGTGAACTGGTCAGGCAGAAATCCTTTGCCAGTTGTAAAATATAAAACCAAACTAAACCAAATCAAAGAATTCCAGGGAAAAAAAAATCCAAACCAAAAGAAACAACCTGAAATACAGCTATTTAGTGTTGCTTACTTGGTAATATCAGGGACCGATCTCCCATGTGTCTGCAGACAGGAGCAACTGAACTACTTCTTTCCCCCTGCTGATGGCCTGTGAGTGATTTGTGCTGAGGTAAGATGGGAGTCCCAGTCTTTCAGTCCTGCTGCAGTGCTGAGGCCCCTGGAAAAGGTTTGTGCTGGGAATCGTTCCACCTCCCCTATTAAAGGCCTTTTCTCCGTAGAGGCAGCAATTAGCACAACCCCCTTCTGGCATATTTGCATGGTCTAAAACCCCCAAAGTGTTTCCCTTGTTGGTGTGACTTCCCCATCACGTTGGGGGCTCGGTGTTGTGTGTTGGTGGCTGGACCCATGCTGGCCTTACACAGGGCAGAGCACAGCGGTGCCTGGTCGGGCTGTAAGTGCTGCAGATGTTTCAGCTGTGCAGACTTCATGGTGCAAATTTCCAGACTTTCCCTTGGGAAGTGGTATTTTGAGCTGGAAGGGAAGAGAGCAGACAGGAGAGTGGGACACAGTCACGCAGCCCTGAAACAGAGCCTGCTGTTGAAACAGGGATAACTTGGATTTTCCCCTTGGATCTCCACTGCTCCCCGGCGGATGGAGCACCAAATGCATATGGCAGCTCCATCCCTTCACGCCTCACCTGGACACATGATGAATGAACACTGCAGCCCTGCCGTGCTCTCTGCCAGAAAGGGCATTAGGAGCTGGCTGCAGGATGCTTTTCCCAGATGCTCTGTCTGCATGTGCTGCCTTTCCTTGGGGTCAGCTCTCGGCAGGGCTGTGTCTTGTTTCGTGCAGCTCCTTTCTCTGGAAGCAGGCTCTGGAGCCCTTCTCTGAATTCCCTTATAAAGAGTTAATTCCCTCTGTGTCCTGGTCATGTTCCCAGGTCCTTGACATACACAAGGAAGTGTCACTGTGCTTCATAAAGCAGCTCCCAAAGAAGAGTAGCAGAAAAGCTTGTGGAACATGACATTGTGTGGTCTCAGCAGGTCACTATGCCTATCGCGTCACTTCTCCCCTCCGCGTCATGCACACGCTTGCTCTTTGTGTGTTTTCTTGGGGATAATGACTCCCTCTTGCTGTGGATTTGCTCCACAATTGGTACAGATGTGGCTTGCATCCCTAGTGCAGCACAAATAACCATCAGAGGCTGTGCTGCTGCTAGCACAGTAGTTTTTTGCAAGGACTTCATCCATTCTGTGTTTATGACACAGGGGGTATTGCTCTCCCTAACTCCCACAGCATCTTCCCCATTGAGTGGATATTGGGATCTCTCTTCTCCATGGCTAACCCAAATTTCCCTTTCCTACAGTTCATCTGTTATTGTTAGTTGCATGCTCCACGTGCTGCAACAAATGCAAGAATGGGGACAACAGATGAGGGCGACGGGCATAGATAGAGCAGGGCTGAGGTCTGGGCTGAGCATGCCTCTGAAGAGCCTTCCAGCAGATGAGCACGTCCCCCGTGAGTTGGGATTTGGTAGTGTGTTATTAGAGATGACACTGCGAGATTGCCGTTGGCAGAACATCATTTACACTGACAGTTGTAGCAGCTTGCTGCAGCAGTGTCCCAGGAAATGTATTTTTCAGCCAAATATTTGTATGAAATATGATAACAGGGACAGAGCTTGGAGGCAGCTGAAACACCTTCATGTTTCTTGTTCTTTTGGTGTTTGTATTGCAGTGCTTGCAGGTACCAAAGGAGAGCCCAGCTCTGGGTGCTGGGTCCTGGGTGGTTCCTGCTCTGAAGGGATTACAGCTACTGAATGGGAAGAGCTTTGGGGATGGAGGGGAAGGTGGTGATGAAGTGAGCAGCACTCGCAGTTGGCCACCACCTCATAGAAACAGACGTGCTGTTACCACAAGTGGATTTTCAGTCCCTGCATGTGTGAATGACGTGCTGGATGCTGGGCTGGCACTCAGCCTGAGCCCTGATGACATGTGCTCTGCTCCCCTTGCAGCTTTGAACACAGTGTACCATGTCCCTTCTAGGGACAGAGAGGTTCACATTCGGGTCAGTGCTGCTCTGGTCTGACCTCGCTGGTCGCAGCCGGGTGTTGATCCCACTGTGTGTGCTGCTACTGATGGAGAAGGGCAGTGTTAACCAGAGTGAGGTGATGGTCCCCATGGTCAAGGGTGGTCTTCCTCCAGCAAGAACCCATAGGGAAGAGCTATCCACAGCTCTTGTGTGTGGGCACACAATACAGCTTAAGGTCGTGCTTCTGGGAGGCAAGAGGGTCATGGAGATGCATAGAGAAAGAAAACACGAGGTGGGATAAGACAGCTGTATTTTTGCTGTGAGTTGTTGGCTTAACCAGCAAGTGATGCTTCACCTCTGGAGAAGGAGGAATCCCAGTTCCAGCCTGCAATTCTTGTGTCCCTGTTCCTTCTGCCGGGCATAGACTTCTATCACGTTTCTCACTCTTCTTTTAGCATCTGTTTTTCTTTGCCCTCTAGTCTCTTGCTTTACTGGCTTAACTAGTTAAACAAGGAACTGCTCTCCACTTGACATCCCGAAAGCTCAGCCATGAGGACTCTGTTTATGTGTGTTTCTAAAGCTTATTTTCTGAAGTTCTTGCTATGTAAAGCTGTTTTCATACTGCATCTGCTGGATTGGTGAAATGCTCCTGATTCTCCTCTGTGGCACAGGGTGCAAAGCAGACCACTGAGTGTGACTTTAAGTGATGGTGAGATCAAGGAAGAGATACACAGCATTTTTAACTCAATAAATAGATCTTTAAAGCTACAAGTGTTCTTCTGCCTAACACAAGCTGTAAAACTCCCTTTACTGAGCCTGGCAACACTAGAGGTTTCAAGCACGCATGGAACAAGATTGAGACCACAGATTTTGGGTGAAACTTGTGAAGGGCTCGTGCAGACACGCGTCAGGCACCCACCCAAACACACAGCTCTCTGCTGGGCTGGAGTTCGTGCGGGGCCAGCATCACAGCACTCACATCCCCAGGGAAAGCT